ATCTTACAGTTTTCTACAACACTGATAATATTCTTGGTTGTAATATGTTCTCGTCTTGCTAGAGGAAATCGTCAGTACTAACTTCATACTCAGGGAACACAATACAACCAAGACCATCCACCTGAGCTACAAACATTCCCCATTGATAATATTACTTCCAAACAGACAGACAGACAGACAGACAGACAGACAATATTAACTAAATAACAAATATTACCCATATTCCCTGGTAAATTCATTAGTATACATACATCTCCTCATACATAACATTAATACTAACAACCTATATCAGCTCTACAGTACGCAGCTCAAGATTTGAAAGCAGCAATGATTACAAAACTATTTCTACATCGAAATACTTTGACTCGTATCCACGATACTACGAATCCACCGCATACAAGATCTTTAAATAAGCAAGTAGATTTTTGATTGATATTACATGATGTAAATTGACTGAAGTGGAGTCAAGTGGAACTTGATGATAAGTTAGTTCTAGAAAGAAACGTAATTGCTGAAGCAGTTGAAACAGTCAATTAACCCAATTACTCCTTACAATCTATCTAACAAGTAAAGAATTAGGCTAGAATAAGTCGACCAACAGGATACTGTACTCTGAAAGACCCAAATCACATTTAAAATTCCCATTTTTTAAAAGACAAGAAACTCTGTACCATTGTAGAGTACTCTCTTAAACATTTACTATTTGGGGAAAGATAAAGGTTAGTATGAATATTCAAGCTTTACAACTGCGCCACTATGACCGATGTCGCCGACATTCAGTTCTCAATCCTTGATTCCTATCATCTCGGAAACCTCATACGAATCAGATAAACAGTAAAAGACTTTATCAACTGATGCCACGTCTTGATTTGGCCACCCAAGACTCGCTTTCCACCTAATCCTAGACGGTGGATCAATATGTGCAAAACATAGTCCACGCCACTTTGGTGACAAAAATACTTCACAACCTTATCAACTGACACGCCTTCTTTGCCTAGAAACCTTCACCTGACATCAACATCTAGAACATGATGATTTCATCACACACCTATGGTCAAAAAGCTTCACATCTCTTATTGCAGTGTGTAGGTGGTCGGATACCTCACCAGTCGATACTAGAGATTACGTAAGTTAGTGAATACCAAACAAGCCTTCTGTATTGAAGCTGATATTTCGTCCCCTCATAAAGACAGAAATTAATACAAGGTAGCAGAACGTCATAAAAAAAAATATGAAGAGAAAAATCAATATCGAGATCCGACATGATTACCAAGATAATGTGAGGATGTATGTGGATCACTGAGATGGTTTCACAGCAATATCACCAAGGATCATTGATAACTGATTTATGTCGCTATGCAAACCGCCAACCAGGAAGTCTACATTTAATTAGTTGGGGTTTCGCGCTTAATGGTATTCGTCAGCAACCTAGATTGAATTGAGATTTGAATCGACGTCACCCAGTGCTACAATTGGAGAAAGTACTACTGAACTATTCGGGGTGCGATCCAACTCATGTAGGACTGGGACAGTAGACAGCAACGAATTTCATGTTGTTTAGCCCTATATGTTGATCGAATTCTATATTTCTTCATATGCCTTAGACCAACAGTCAAGGACTAAGACAATGTTTCAGTTCGACTACGATTGCATGTCACGGTGACTGGATGTATATGTAACACATTCCTTCAACTGTCTAATTCAAGGAAGATTTACCACCTTTTTAATTAACTTACCTCTTCTGCTTAAAACTCTACGCCTGATTTGTAAGTTACTAACTTGCTGGTTTCATGAAACACCGCCTATATTACAAGGGTAGTAGTGGTCGAATACACATGAAACTTTCTCATGGTTTATTCGATTGAACTGAAGTGTTCCCGTAGAATTTACAATGAAGAACTCATCATAGGAACTAAAAGATGACTGTACACATGGACTACTAATACTATTACTATTATTACTGTTGTTATTGATACTATTATAATTATTGTTACACTATCATTAGTATTAACGAAGGGTAAAGGCTTACGGATATGAGGAAAGTAAGTGATGAATCAATCAGCCAGTCAGCCAACACACACACAAGAAATCTTAACATCTCATTGGTGACTACACCTTTTAGATTACCCATGCGGGAATAGCAACTAACTAAGTCATAGAGATAGATGCATGTATACCAGAACAGAAGCATACAGCCACACTCGCACACATCATCCAACACATAACATAAATTAGTATCGAGCTATTAACAGAAATAAGTAATTTAGTGTATTCATTTCACAGTCTCATATGTATATATACTACCAACTAATATAGAGTAAATGAACCACTGACCGTGATGAATTGAAACTTTCTCAGTTATTTTATGTCTTCAATATAAGTGTAAAACTAGTGAACTGTGGTAGGATGTAATTCGATATTACATTTGTTTTATATGATATAGCCAAGTTATCTCAGTTAAGGTAGGTTTAGTCAAATGTGTAAATGATAGAGCTAGAAAACTGATTAGCTTCTTCAGTGGAACGACCTAAACAAGGAAATGAAACACTTAAAAAAAGCGCTGATAGTTAATAATTATCCTCTATTGTTTATTAAGGCCAGGAGAGATTAAAGAATGCCCTGTATTCAAAATTACCACCGGAACAGATTGGTTGGCTTCAGAAAACATAAATCATGTGTGGATCAAATTACAACGCTATGCAGTCAACTCTCTACCTGAACTTTAACAACTTTGAAAAGGCTTTCGATAACGTTGACTGAGAAGTAATTTGGCATTTGCTTTATCGACCTCATTCAACAGCTATATGAAGACGCGACATGCCAAGTGATCCACAATGTAAAGCTCAGAGATGCCTTTGAAGTGAAGACATGAGTAAGACAAGGCTGTCTACTATCCCTGATGATCTTTCTGATTGTAGTCGACTGGATCATGCAACAAACCGTGAGGAGTGAGAAGATGGGCATACGCTCACTGTTTGATCGATGAAAAGATACGAGAAGATTTGGATTTCGCCAGTGATGATTTATGTTTAATATCGCACAAACCTGAAGATCTACAGGCGAAAACTAACAAGTTGACAGAAGAGGTAGGGCAGCGAAGACGAGACTTCAGGTGAATGTAGAGAAGACAGAGGTGATGAATATACCCAACCAACAACAACAACAAGTACCAATCATCAGCAACGGGAGAAACCTAAAGGAAGTAGTCTCTTTCATCTACCTAGGAGGCAGCATCGTTTCAATTACAGGTGGTAGCACAGATAAGGATGTCAAAACCAGGACCGAAAAGACAGGAAGACAGGCTTCCACTAATCTGAAATTAGTATGGAGATCTACTGCACTGCACTGCACTCAGCACACAGAGTGAACAAGATCCGGATTTTCAACACCAATGTCAAGTCAGTGCTTCTATATGGTTCACAAACTTAGCGAGTCACGAAAACCATTTCCAACAAACTACAGACATTCATCAACAGCTGTTGCCTATGCTTGCTCGATACTGAAGATCAGATGGCGAGAAAGAATAAGCCAAGGAACTCTGGGAATGAACCAACCAAGAACCTACCACCCAACAAATATGCACTGGAAGAAAGTGGAGATGGATTGGGCATACAGTGAGAAAACCATTCGGAGACATCAAGCACCAGGCTCTTGAGTGGAATCCAAAGGGGAAACGACGAGTTGGGCGTCCGGGACGTGGGTGACATGGAGGAGATCATGTGAGGAAGAAATGAAAGCTTATGGGTAGTCGTAGAGCCAGGTTGAAAAGACTGCAGAGAACAGAGTGCACTGGAGGCGTGCTACTGAATCCCTATGTTCCACTAGAAACCCAAGAGACAAATAATAATAATAATAACCAAAGAGAAAAAACAACCTAAGAATAAAGGTTAGTGGAAATATTCAAGCTTTAGAAAATGTTAAGGAGTGAATACATCTGCGCCACTGTGACTGATTTTCAGCCATGTCACCAAGTATCATCAACCACTGATTTTTTAAGTCTCAGAGACCCAAATGACTCAGACCAACAGTCAGGAACTTCATTGACTGGTACCAGGCCTTGGTCTGACCACCCTGAACCCCATTCTATCCTAATTCAACTTTCTTTATCATTGCAAGTCGAGGTAGCTGGTGGCTTGGTATGCGCAGAACATGTTCACACGATGTATATATAACCAAAATGAAAAATCTATTCTCATTCACTTTCATAAAGTAAATACATTGTCTCCTCCATAATTTCATTTGAATATCAGAATCGACATTCTATTTGTCTAAAGAAATTCATAACACAGTTATCACTTCTCTATTCTGAACAACTTTTTTGAACAGTGTTGACAAAAGTGTGACGGCGGTTAAAACTCTCCTAATGCACACACCATAGAAGGCTACTTCTTCTTAAGATACCTGAAAAAGAAGGGTTAGTGTATGATCACAGAGTTCTACTTGAGGCAGTTACACATGAACTTTCTACAAGTTTCAGATTCTTATTTGTCAGTTTTGAAGCCGACTAAGAACTCAAGCCGCCATGTAATCGTGTGTTATTTTTGCGGCTGACCTTTCCTAACCCTACTTTTCCATAGGGAAGGGAGCATCAATGTGGTAATGATGTCATACTCTTATCCTTAGGATTTCGATTATAGCGTAGAAATTTACAGTGGAACGGTAACTACTTTTTGTCTAACAACTGTTCAAAATACTTTACTAACATGGTAGGACCTCAAAGGAACAAACATTCCACTAGTATAACTCATCCGAATCATTGTGAAGGTGGCAGCTATCGATTGGCAAAGTTTTGAACACCTACACTAACAACTAGTTACTAGAATAAAGAAAATTGAATATCAACAATGTTAAACACAAAATCAGCTTTGAAATCGATTATCACTTGACCTCAACACATGATCAATTTAGTTATGATCATTGTTGATAGAAATTTATGCATAGTATAAGTAAAAATATTATAGTATGGGAACAAAATTAGAAGAAAAAAAAACACTGATTACCTGTAGAAATACTTTAGCAATGATAAGATCATCAGCTTCCTTGAATACAGTACTGAATATAACTGTGACACGATCTGCAAGAGCACTAATGTAACTGAAACAAAACAAATAACGGTGGGAAGAAACAACAAATAAAATGGAACAATATTACTAGATGTATACAAATAAGTAGTAGTCATTGTTGTTATGATATAGGAGAGATTCGGACCTGTATTGTAACAGGAAATTACAAGTATCATTACAACAACTGATACCTGTTGAACAAGAGGTGGCTATCATACTCCAGTGGTTTAGTGAGTAATGCTTTAGCGTTAAAGATAGAATGAATCGGAAATTCATACAGTTCGACGATGAAATAGTGGAGAATATTTGTAGCTCAGGTGGATGGTCTTAGTTATATTGTGTTCTCTGAACTGGGTTGTTTAATCATGCAGAAGCTTTCATCGTCTTTCTAGACAGAGACATCATCAGCACTAACTTCAGTATAAAGTGAGCTGTCAATATCTCTCCGTCAGTGAGTGAGTTAGTAGCTTGCCCTGACCAATTGGTTCCTGACTGGTTGTTTCCTTTGATTGTTATGTCATTGACTGACTCCACAGAGTTTCCTGTTGGCTGTCCTCCTGCTTGACCTCTCACCTTTCTCTCGTTTATCATTTTTTCCTATTAATTGATAGAGTAGGTCTATGTCTATACATCTGTTGATTGCTGACTGACATGAATGCCAAGCTTCTAGGAATTCTCTGATGATATTCTTTGTGTTTCCTTTCTCCATCCAACATTTCTACATTGTCAAAATTCAGTTCATTTCCATAGTTGTTATCCACCTCCATTGAGGGATGAAATATCATGTGTGACGTTCTATAGCCAACTGGTGTTGATGTAGACGAAGGTGAAGATGGGCGACCACTTTATCCAATGTGTAGTGTCGACTACAGTTATTGGAGTTGATTTTGTAAATGATATTCGGTTTATTCTTCTTTGATTGTTGCATCCCCTGGTCTGTATAATAGTGTTTGGAGGGAATTTGTTGGTTTATGAGCCACACCAATTCCAAGTGGTTTCAATAATCTTGTCGTGATTTCTGATATATTCTCTATGTTGTTTGATTCTTGTAATCTCACGTTGTTAAACTGAGTCGAATAGCTAGATCTCTGTTGGCAGATTGGCTGCTGTTGGAAAGCATCGATAATGCCTGACAATTGATTATATAGTTATTCGATTGGCAACTAGTAGTGGAATCCAGGATATGCGTTTCGTCCAATCTAAAGCTCGTCAGATGGATGTACCTGCATTTCAGTGAGTAATGCTGTTCGCATAACAACCACCAAGCAGATAACAACATAAGAACCTGTGAACTATATAACCGTACACCCAATTCATAACCTTTTTTCGCACATGATGAATTGCAATAAACTTATAATTCTGTAAAGAATCATTACAAATATCCAGCATAATCATAATGCTATGTAATCATACTGGATTAGATAAGAAAGCAGTCATAACCATCGAGGAGAAGGGAAACTATTCACCATATTATTTTCAATCGAAGTATTATTGCATAAAGAAAGCACACAAAATAAATCAGTCCCAAAACATACAGTTTAGAGAGGTGTGATGTAGTAAAACTTGAACGCTGCGGTGGACTGTAATTCCATTTTAGTCCGTTTATTAGATATGTCACACAGTGAAGGAACAGTATCATTTACTAGATTACCTTTTGGACACAATTTATTGTCCATATCATAACTTTGTGAAACAGTTCATATAGTCCTAATCTTTTCTCCTTCTTTGTGACGATAGGCACAGCAGTATTTTCCATATAGCTTAGGCAGGTGTAGAATCATTTCTATTACTGCATGTATTTGGTGTTGATTCGATACACAAAGATTCGGTTATCAACCTTTCCATCCCCCCCCTCCCCTTCACTCAACTAAGTTAGTTTTTAACGCTGTCACTCTATCCCACCCTACTGTGTGATGGTGTGTAATGCCAAAAATAGAGTTATAGAGGAGCCCCTATCCAAATTATTTCTCATCTTATTACGATCTACTAATCTTCATTGAGCTAAGTTTTTGTGCTCTCTCATTCGAGTTGACCTTAGTCGGCTACTATGACCAACATATTTAGTGTCGCTCCACTGCAAGAGATTTAGTAAACCAAATTATTTTGCTTACTTGTATATCACTAGGATCTTTAAACCTACAAAGCTTGTTTCGAAGCGAGTTTGTTGGTTTAAATGCCACTTGAATCCCAACCAGCCTTATTGAGAATTCTTCGTAATGCTTCTGAGGTGCTGCCTTCCTTGTATAGTAAGACAGTAGAGGCTTTCAATTCACTCTCAACCCTATTGTCATCATTACTATTAGTAGTAGAATTACTATTGATAACACCTGTGTCACTACTACTACTACCACCACCACCACTACCACTGCTCACATTTTTGTTTAGATTTCTTATGGATTTATTGATAAATTTAGGTGGGTAATTATTGAGATACAAGATATTCTTCATGTGTCTAATTTCTTGTTGTAGATTTTCTCGTCTACTAGTAAGTTTATCCACCCTATCACTTAGGTATTTAACTGAGCCTACTCTAGCTGAAGTGGGGTGGGAGAATTTGAAGTCTGAGTAGCGATTCGAATGGGAAGGCTTTCGATGGACACTAGTCTCTAAACTTTCATCTTGTGCTCCTTCAGTCTTGCTATCTAACATTGCTAACTCACCTTCATCACTTTCTAAGTCACAGGTGAATTGGATTGAATTCACTACTGAATTTTTATGTTGCAAGAACCTATTGATGTGTTCCGATTTCAGTACTGTAAATATATCATCTACGTATGGGAAGCGTATCTTTGAAGTAGGCCTAAATGTTTGAAAGGCCATCTGTTCCTAACTATCCATAAATATATCCGCGACAATAAGGGAACTTTGTCTATTATATCTTATATGAGTCAACGTCTACCCTGACGAATAATATTAGCCGAGATACGATTACGTTGGAGGGAGGTTAAGATTGGTCGGATAAAGACGTGACAATGAAACATTATTATGAAGTCTCTAACGGAGGCATAGGTCTCTGTTAGCTGCGACTCTTGAGATCATAGGTTGCGGACTAGGCGATGTGGCACGGCCTTGTTCCTCATTTGTCACCATCGAAACTTTAGACAATCTGTTAAAAGACGATTGATTTATTGATTCTTTTATATACTCTCGACTACTTTGGCATTGTTCTCTTCTCATCTATTTCTACTTTTCACACTCTGCAATGGTTTGAACTAATCTATTTATGTTAAAGACTCGATGTTCATTCCGTAACCTGCGAATACGCAATGAAGGTTGTTCCTACAGCGGCAATATCAAGGCATCTGCAAAGGAGCCTATATACCAACACAAATCAATTAATTTGATCCAGAATAATAACGGAGAATTACAAGTATATCAAGTGGGTATCATGCCTCAATAACCTACTGGATAACGCTTCGGCGTTTGAAGTGATGGGTCGTACGAGGTTTGAGTCTCAGAAGGAACAATATCACTCATTGGAGTGCAGGTAAACTAAGCTGATGAGTCACAAATAGAAAGAAATGTGCATCCCACATTTTACTCCTAGCCACGACCAAGTATATTACAACATAATCAATAATTAGACAATGTTGAAGTATTCATAAAAGAAGCCTATCAACTAACACATATTTAGAATGACAACAGGAAAATACAAGTAACACTAGATAACAATCATGTGTCTGTATGTGCAAATTTGGACGAAAAAAACATGGACAAAATCAATGTTGTTAGACAGACCAGGTGTAATATGTACAAAAATACACAATCATAGTGTTTTGTACATACAACAAACTTTCAATCATTTTTGTTCTTGTTAGACATTTTCGATTATCATGAAAACAAACACCAAGCGTTATGACGGTTAAGATGGCTAACTGTGAATTGTACAAGTGTATATTCACCAACACATCAATGAAACGATACAACGATTGATTAATAAATATTAATTATTTACTTAAGATATAAAAAGTGAGAGATTAGGTTGTAACTGTGGGAAAACGCATAAAAAACAATCCAAAACCAAGCTAGGACTCTGTGTGTGTGTGTGTGTGTATATAGGAGGGGGGGGGGGTTAACTCTGCAGATGGAAAAATTAATTTGGATCGCTTAGAAACAAATGATTTAGTTACGATGAAGTCACAACACTGGATAGCTGCTTCATCCAAGTATAGGACTTCTTAGTAGTACGCACCCAAGTCCTGGTCAGGCATCGAACTCAGAAACTTCAGGTTTCACGGCGAAGGCACTAACCCCATTCAGCAACTCGGCCAGAATTTCAATAGTACACAGTTTCTTAGTTCTATCAATTTTCAATGTAACGCGACAATTTACTAAGATCTTCAGTTCGCAACCGCTTCATTTCCGACCGGTTGTGACTCCCCCCCCCCCCCCAAGGTCATGGCTTATGATTACAACTTCAGAATACATCCATCTGGAAGCGTGTCACATTGAAAATCTGAGAGCACTGGACAGCCGTTTCGTTCGAGAGAAAACACAACTTGAAGATAAAGGTTAGTGCAAATATTCAAGCTTTGGAAGATGTCAAAGAATGAATACATCTGCGCAAAAGACCTAAACCAGTGATTCCTATCGCCTCTCAGACTCCAACCAAGTAGTCTACATCTCGACACACAGCTCAGATCAACGGTCAGAGACTTTATCGACTGGTGCCATATCTTGGTCTGGTCACCCTGAACTTTTTTCCCACCTAATCCAACTTCATACGCAAATGATATGGTCCTGTTGGGTGAAGACGCTAACAAGATAAAAATCTTATGAACACCATGAATGACAATTTGAGAATTTTGGGATGCGTTTCTCACCACCCAAATGCAAATTTTTGCTCCAGGATTGGTCTTCAACGGTGCCACGGTTAATAATAGAGAGTGTAGCGAATGAGTGTAGGATCAGACCTGGTGGCGGATGAAATCCTGCACGGATACAAAAGGTTTGATTGGCTTTCGCCAATTTGTGCCACCTATGGCGCCGCCGTGATATCCGTTTGTCCATTAAGGGTGCGTGTACTGCACA